AGACATAGAAACTATATATTTAAGATTATCATCTAAGTTATAAATCGAAATTTACTTAACAGAAGTCCTTATTAAGAGAGTACCTTATTAGGAAACATCGTAAAATATATGCATTAAATTTGTTTTTTTACTGTATTTTGTTATATTTTTATCTCTAACATGTAAAAATTACGTCTGAAAGTATGTTAGCATCAGAATTTATCGTGAGAATACAACAATAAACATGACTCTCAGTGAGTGCATCATTATAATTTTTTCTCGCCCTAACAAAGAGTAAAAAACAAAGGACCCCGCCGACTGAGATCGTAAATCTGCCGCCCTTTATGTTTCACTTTCAATAGGCTAGAAAGATAGAGCATGAAATTCTCTGTGTATTTTTTTCTTTTGTTTTTGAGTGCAAAAAAGAATTTTCAAAGAGCAAATAGTCGTGGGAAGTATATCACTTTGTCGTATTCCATAAAATAACTATGGTAACCATAATTTTTTGTTTTCTAAAAGTAATATGAAAACTAATAGTGTAGATCGACGCAGTTTTTCGTGCTCTACAAAATAGTATAAATATATAAATTTCCAATTGTTGTCATTAAGGGCCATAAGATTCACAAATATAAGAAAATATACAAAAAATACTATTATACGGCTATTTTTGATAAATTTCAAGTTGATTTTCTGACTAATGACCAATTAGACAAGATGACGACTATAATAGAAACATTCCTCGTGATTTGCTCTACAAAATGGTGTAAATTTGAGAAAAATAAAAATAGCCCAAATATAGAATATTTGATGATTACTTTTGAGCATGTCGTTATCTCATTTGTATATCGATATTTTTTTTGACAGATGTTAGATTTTATTTAAGTTACTCCAGTTTATATACCAAAATTCACGTCGGCTTCTCATTGAGTAAGTGAAACTACATTCAATAGAGTTCTATGGAGTGGTTCAACAGACGTCCTCAACTGATCTTTACTACACATCAATGTAACTACTCATTCTAACAATGTAACAGCTACATGTTGAAATTCTCAACAAAAGATAAATCTTAGCATATTATGATACTTTGCGTTGGTTTCACGTGTGATTTTCTATATTTGAGCTTAGTGTGAGGGTGTGGGTGTGAGTCTCCAGTTGAATAAAACCCACACACACCCATACCACATCCATCCCCATCCCCACATCCACACCCAACATACAATCATTCTTAGGTATAAAGGAAAAATAGACCAAAAATTCTAACTGTTGTACAAAATTTCTTTTTGATTCGACAGATACTTTTTCTAATGCAACTCAATGAGCTCTATCCAATCATGATGAAAAACTGTAGTAAAATTTTGAATTGCAAGTACTTTACATATGCTGTAAACACTTTAAAATTCGAATATCTCTGTCCGTACATGCCAAGAACAACGTATATTTATTGAAAGTTACTAGCTTGGATGTATACTCTAATTTGATCCAAATATATGTCTGATTTTATTAACTAACAATACAAACATCTTTGTTGTAAGTGAAGATATTTGGAAAAAAATAATTGAGTACAGTGAATGAAAAATTCTTTTTATCATGTATTGATATATATCAAATTCTGAAATTCTATCCATGATATGGGATGAGAAAAATAGCAGTATGTTGGTGTTGGAGATTCTATGATTAATGTTTCAATATTTGAAATAAGAAACTTGAAATTGAGGACGATTTAATTTTTCATCATGCATATTATGCCATGTCTTCTTCATATTTGGAATACAACTGATGAAATCTAAATAGTGAGTTAGATAGAGAAAATGGTCTCCAAAATAGTGTGCCCAGAAAATTCATTTAGCTGATATGCAACAATTTAACTGAAGGTCAGAAAAAAGTTTTTCTAAAGAAAATAGTAAAAAACAACTTTAGGGTCATGCATAAGATTGCTTTATTTCAACTGAAAAACGTCGCAAAGAACTCGAAGATATCTTATTATTTAGAGAATTGTTTATTTTATCGTTGTATACAGCATAATTGTTATTTCATTATTTTCCTGTTGAAGACAATATTCTCTATTCGAATCACTATTTGAAATTTTACTAGCGCTTACGTCAACAAAAAACAAAATTCAAAATAAACCTTGTATGTTAGTACTATTTTCGTTGCAAAAAATAAATAATAATAATGTGATTTTAAGTTGTCATAGTTTTATGTTGAGATTCACTCTCTAACTCTTGTCATTATTACATTGCGTCTTCATGAATACACCATTGAACAATGAAGCGAACTAAAACGCTTAAAAATACCCATAAATCGTCGTATATTGCTGTATTACATGACTCAATATTATTATCGTATTTCTCGGTACCACATACGAAGAAACACGGTGGTATAAGATGAAATATCCAGAGTACAGGATCGTTCTACAGTATATACCGATCTCATATTCTTTGCTCTGAGATGTTATTTCTTGGTTCATTTATATTTTAGTATACAAATGTCATTTCTTTATCATCTGACACAATCATTTATACCACAGTTACCACATTAATTTAATATCTCTCCATAATTAAGAAACAAATCTATGATGATGAATGTTTAATTTGTACCTTTACTATAGTAAGACTTTTAGTAATTAGACCAGCACGACAATGTTATAGCAATCAAAATTCTAATTTCTTAGCCATTTTGACATTGAAGGGTATCGATAATTTCGAGAACAAAACAAAAAACTTTTCATTATTTTTTAGTTCTACTTGCAAATGCAAAACAAAAACTTCTAAATAAAAATATCATACTGAATATTCGTCTTATGTTTTGTCTTCTCGAGTTATAAAAGCTTCCCCCATGCTAGTTTTCTCCCGAGAACTAATTATGTTTCAAAAGACTAATAATTATGTGATGATAGATTGACAAACAGTTCATTGTAAACGATAAACATTGACAACATACTATCGATTGATTCATATGTCGAGCTTTATAGATCTATTAATTAATTTCTTTATTGTAAAGGAAAAAAAAGATATAAACTATTCAATTGCATGCAATCTAGTCATTTAGCACTGCAAACGACAGTATTTGTTCATAATGACTACTTAATTTTCAAAAAATAATATTCTTTTCTTAGTAAAATTGTATTATAAAGCGAAAATAAAAAATAAGAGAAAAAAGATCATCCAACTTGAAAAAGAACTAGACGCAAGTGTGTTTTTTTGTGATAAAGACTTATCGTAAGCTGGACTCGGTCGATGAGTGTTAGGTAATCGTGATGTACTGGTATTGTGTATGTGACTCTGATTTCGTTGCGACGATAGCTCTATGGCAGTTAAACGTGGTGTAGTTGAATGGTTCACATCACTGTCATACACTTGTGATGGCTTGTTAGTGTCAGGCAAACGAGATCTAGTTGAATGGTGTACATGACGATCATACGATTGTGATGGCTTGTTCATATCTGGCAATCTAGATGTATGCGAATGATGTACGTTATCGTTATTCCATTGTGATGGTTTATGCGCGGTAGATATAGGTTGTTCAACTTGGTGATCAGCATCGTTATACTGTTGTGATGGCTTTTGTGGAATCGACGAATATAGTAGATTTTGAGGATCATAACTATTATGCACTTGAACTGGTGTTTGTATGTCAATAAATTTTATCACTTTTCCTGGTTGATTATTGCAATAATCTGTATAGCAGCATGTCAAATTAAGATATGTTTCAGGTTGTTGACGCATTTGTTCACATGTAGCTTTCGATGTCCATCCACGATGCCATCGAATTATTCCATTATGTTTATCAGCATCAGTACATTCTCCATGATGATTCGATCCTCGTGATGAATGAGAACAAACACCTCTGTAACTAAAACAAACGCAACCAACTTTTGAACATGGCATATTATCTTCGGTTGCATGTATAGTAAGTACAGCGTTTTGATATGCAGTACCCACGGTCATATTTAATGTTCGGATTACAGTTTCTTCATGTTCATGTATTTGATAACATCTTATTGGTTGTTTAAATTGATTTTTGGTCGAAACTTGTGAAACGGTGAAAATAAATAAAACGAATATATATTGGATGAAAGCAAACATTTTAGTCCTATCTATTTGTTTGTGTATGTGCAATCAATCGATCAAATATAATAATTTGTCGAGCACTACTATCAGTATATATCATTTAATACTCCTTCTTCTTTTCTTACCATTTCTATCGAAACAACAACAAAAATAGTCTATGTCTGTTATAAGAAATCATAGAAAACATGTAAATAGAGACTCGGTAATTTATTTTCTTTACCAACATAACTAACCTATCATATCAACAGTGGTATTTTTCACTCATATAATTTGCTCATATAAGAAATGTCATCTTAGCTATTATTTTTATTTTTCGTATGCAATAAATTTTTGCGTTCCATCGTAGAATATAGAAAAGCAAAAAAAGCAAGGCTAACTACCATTTCCATCGAGCTGCATGACGTCGTCAGAATAGTACACAACAGATGTTTTCTATATGATCTAAAGAAAACCGGACATAAAAAATAGAAAGAAATACGATCAATCTTGAAAATTTTGTTGGTAATAAGTCTTCATTGAATGAAAAGATTGAATGAGAATGATAAGAATTTTTGGTATAAATGCCTTTTATTCTATGATATAATTTTCTAGTTTGCAAATTTTTACAGAGAAAAGTAAAATTTATTTTCTTTCTATTAGCAAAACTTGTAAGCACAACCTGTCCCTTTGGGGCTGTGATGTAGAACCTACATATGTTCTTTAGTCTGATGATACTAATACAAAATATATGAAGTGAAATTTCTACACTTAAAACAAAAATTTTTTCTTTTTTGTTTTCCACCATCATTATTTTTTTTCATTTTCTTATTTCTTTCTTCTTCATTTAATGCTGTTATTAGTATAAGCATTGAGTTAAATGGCAAATAAGCCTGTTGTAAATATCCATTACATCTACACTGGTAGGTCTTAACGCACTATTATATATCTCGATCTATTGAGAAACCTTGGCATTGACTGTTTTCCAAAGTTATAACTTGATCATATAATAACTGTGACAAAGCCATGCATTATTACTCATTGTCGTTCACAATCCTTCTAATTTCGTCTAAGACTATCATATTCTAGAACCTTCTAAGTCTTGTGATACATGCCATTCAAAGAAACTCTGGTACAGGTTGTCCTTGAGCGTGTGAGGGGTGGGTGTGGGGGTGTGGATATTGATCTTATTTTCATCCACAACCATACCCCACACCCACATCCACACCCACACCACACCCACACCTGTTCGAGGTCAGCTAATTCACATGTTAGAATTACTCAATGTCTTTTTTTCTGAATAAATAGTTAGAATTTTCATTCCTTTATGCAGGAGTTCTTGGATTAAAGCAGTAAAAGAAATTGTGAGTTATAAAATAAGCAGCTCCCCAAGTTGATGACTATGGTCTCCAGAATTCGCTGGAACCTAAAGTAAACAGCCAATTTCGTCTTCTTTCCCATCGTAACCTGTCGGGAAAATCCGCGAATCATGGAAGTAATAGTCCGGCCGGATTCCAGCGTACATACAATGATGATAAACCCACCGGTTTTGTAATCCAGAAATAAGCACGAATCAATATAGATGCAACTGTAGACTTGCTGAATATATTTCAGAAACGCGAACATCGAAACGGAAAACTCACAGGAACCATTAGAGAAGAAAAGGAATCCTCAACAGATATCACTGCATTTCAAAGCAAAGAACCACCAAAGATCATTTTCATCCAATGAATTATTTCCAACATGTCAATTAGAATTCACTCTCTCAATCATAAGAGACATAACTCTAGAACCCTTCTGCAAAACAACCACTTTTCTTACTCCCGTTCTCAGTGAAAAACCACAATTATAAGAAAGCGAAATGCCGGAAGACTTTGGAAGACCTTTTCTTTCTACGTACCGGATTTACAAGTTAATTTTGATACTCATCACATCAGAACGGAGAGCACGAATTTCGAAGACCCTTAAAGAGGTCCCCTCATCAGGATCGACTTCCCAGTTTGGAGCATAGGTTTGGGTTGAAACTTTCAGGAATGAGTGGTCCTAGTGAGAAAGGCTTGCGGTAAAATTTCAGCCGTGTATACCATACCAAACAAGACTTACGACTTGTTTCGTAGCTTTCAAGAGAATCGAAATAACTTCATGACTATGAGAACTATCGAGGTCGGGACAGTTTTAGATTAAAGCTAGTCTCCATAAGCAACTTTTCATCGGAGGGAATTTTGAAATTCGCTTCTATTCAATTTTTTATAAACACTTCAGTAGGAAAGACTTCCAAAGCATGCCTAAAAAAGACAGTAAATCGGACTTTTCTCAGTCGAGGAACCTAATATCAAAAATCGTCCGATGAAAAGTTAGATCTCGTTGACACCTTTAAAATAAAACAAAACTTCGGGCAAAGCTTGAGCCAAGCTGAAGTTATTTCAATTTTCCTGTTTGGAATCCATGTTTTGGAAAAACCCCTGAAGCAGTTTTAGAAATGAGGGTGTGAGTGTAGGTATGGATGCGGATCTTTTCTAAACGAACTGCCGGCACACATACCGAAAATCACATCCACACCCACCCACACCCAAACCCACCCACACCCACACTACACACATCCACACCCTGAAAGCGTATCGTCNAAAACAATTTTTATATATTAAAAAGAAATAAAGAAAAAAAATTAAAATATTAATAAAAATTGCAAGTTAAAGAAATTAGAAAATTTAAAAAATTAAAATCTAGACAAAGTAAAAAAATTAGAAAAAAATGGGAATGTTTTTTGGAATATGTTCTACCTTTTGTAGTAGAACGAGTTATGAGCCAAAGCCTGATGGGCAGTGCTTTTCATATGGTCAATGTGTGGCTAAGTTTTGCTGCTGGACTGTGATCAATTACAAGTAACGAGGAATCACTTGTAATTGGTCGATGCCAATTACAGCGGATCGTACGCTACGATTACTGCGACACAGTTACGTTAGTCTGCATCGCAGTAATCGTAATTTATAATAGAAGCTTTCACTGTGACGCAGTTGGTAAAAAAAAAAGAGGCGACATGGGCCGAATTCCCGTGTCAACTATGACACATATAAAAGTAAATGAATAAGGAATGCTTCATTTTGTTGCAAAATAAATTGAATAGCATGTACATTTTTGCTGATGCTTATATACAGATTGAATGAAAACACAGTGTACTTTGCAGATAATAGGATAAGCATTAGATTTTTTTTAGTTCGTCGAAATCTAAGAAAATCGTAAATTCACTGTTTCACTTTTAATGTCACCTATTGAGAAAGTTCATTGTACATAAATCAGTTCACACTAAAAAATAATGTGTCGTAACGAGCACCTCGTGTCGTAATAGTATCGCACTTTTTATTGCAGAAAAAACTTCACAGTGAGTGATCTGATAGACTAAAAATGTGTATGGACGATGCAAGAGAACAATACTTTAGAAAGCGAAAATATCTATCTAGGGACAAGGAAACACAAAAAAGCGACATGTTCATAAGAGAGACAAAGATGAACAACAGATCATCACAATAGTTAATACATATAATCTAAAAAGTTTTATTATTATCTTTTTAATCTCTAATGAATGATATTTAATGAATTAGATGATGCACCATATATTATCTAGCCATGCAATGGGCATTGCCATAATCGTTCGTATAACCGCCGCCAAAAAATTGAAATGAAAATGGCTCTGCATCTTTAATTTTTTCACCCATATAAAAGACACTATTGCCATCCTTAGCATAGCCATTACCCAGCGATTGAAATGAATCTGGATCTGCATCCTTAATTATTTTATCCAAAAAATAGACATAAAAGCTATCCTTAGCGTAACCGTAACCAAGAAGTTGAAATGAATTTATAAATGCACTCTTAATCTGTTCACCCATATAATAGATGCCTTTGTCATCGGCAGCGTAACCATTACCAATCAATTGAAATCTAATCGGATTTGCGCCTTCAACTTTCTTGCCCAGAAAATAGACATTCCTGTTGTCCATAGAATAGTCCCAATATAAGCTGCATATGACAGTTTGTGACAATTGGTTAACATCAGGACTATTACGGATGTATTTGCTTCGTGTACGTCGATCTTCATTACGTTTTTGTTCGCTTTCGCTTTCGCCTTCGCCTTCTTCCAAGAAAGAATTCAATCGTTTGACGAATAAGTTCGTTAGTAATGCTCTTTCTGATTCTTGTTTGATCACAAATGCTCTCTCAGCTTGATTATTGGTTATCATAAGAAGAAGAGATATAATGAAGAAGAAAGAGACAAGATCGAACTGCATAGTCGTTGCTTCTATTGCATCAAAGAATAGAATGATGTGACTGAAGTTTGGCTTTTAATATTCTGTATGTCTCTCACTTCTATAGTTACTCACATTAGAAGTAATTATTTTTTCAATAATTATTGCCTACTAGTTCGATTCACCATCACAAAAAAAATCATTTAAGTGTGCGTTAAATATCTTGTCAATCTACTAATTAAATACCAAGGACGTATACTATTTTACTTTTCTTTTCCACTTGATCAATCAACCATATTTATCATTGAAAGTTTCAAAGAATACGATTTCACTTTTCGTTAAATAAAATGGTGGAAATAACTTTAAGACACTTTTGCTTTTGCTATAACTCAGCTGGATTTAAAGTTAGAAATCTGATTTTTTGTCAGTGTTAGAAAGATTATTTTAAGGACTATGTAACACTGAAAGTAATTCAAAATTGGATGCGTTTTGAATGACTTATCGTGAAAATAATTTTATTCCAGTGGACATAATTTTAAGATACTTGCAGTATTTTGCAATCGTAGGAGTTAGCGATTTCGTTTGAAAAAACTGAAGCATACATCAATCCATGCAGAATTTTGTGCTCTATATGTTAAAAAAATAATTTTTTTTTTGGTCCACAATCGAACCATGGTTTTAGAATTTGGTTTTTGTTGGTGATAATTAATAATGATATTGAAGAATGAGTGATGCAATCAGACTCACTACCAACTAGTGTATGAGAACGAGTGACAAAAAACTGAGCACAACCATGTAATTTTTGTGCGGAAAAAAATTCTATTTCAACGTGAACTTGTGAGAATTTTCGTTATTGATAAGTCATCAGTGTTCGAATTCGATTTTGTTCTGTACCAAAACCTAAGTCAAAAATTTTAGATTCTACAACATGAAATCCTCTATGGTTCTCTAAAACACTTAAATTTTCAAGAGACAAAAACAATTCGATAGCATCATATATCATATTAATATCTGAAATCATCTTCAAAATAACGACTAGTACGAAACCTTCTGGACAATATGTTTCTTTGTATGTCGAGTGATTGGGAGAGTTAACAGAAAATGTCAAACATTCGATTAGAATCAGAATTTTATACTCTTTTCGAATATATGTTGGAAATTGTGATCCAACCATTGAAAACTGCGAAAGTAGAGTTTAAACCAGTTTTAATGGGCAAAAAAATTATTTTAAATAGAAGTTAAATTTATTAGACAAACATGCATCAAAAGAATGATATTCTAATGGTTAGTTTTCTCAAACACTTCTATGTGTCAATAAGACTTTTTCTAAAAGACACATTGATATCTCCGACAGTCTTTGATTTCCAGACTTAAAAAATCAGTTCAATTATTTCTGAAGTCTTGCAGCGAGACTTTCAATTCTTATCTCACTACGATATGTGAAATACTTGTTAATAGAAGATATTTAATAAGGAAGATTATTACAGTATGTGACATATATTGTCTATGTGCTGATTTTAAAAAAATTCAGAACATGTTGCAATCAAGCAAAAGACAATGAGACTAAACTAAATGCGACATCTTTATGAGGAAAATAAGAAAGTAGCACACAATCCATTTCAATTGAGATATGATCAGTTTATCGTGTCTACATTCATTAGTTCCATTGTTGTCTTCCAGATTTTCGAGTCTCTCAAAGATTTGTTTATAATACGAAATCTATAATCAGAAAGAGCAAAAACACTCTGATTCTAACACAATTTTTTAAATTTTCTTCTGGTTTCCTTAATCAATCGAAAAGAAGATCAATCTTTTTGTAGATCTGTTTATAATAGTAATATGACATATTTGTTTTGTGGTTGTTAAATCACATGACGACAAAAACAAAAAAAAATGAAGAATGATAGTAACATAAATTATGAATACGTGAACGCATAATAATATCAGTTTGATTTATCATGTTAATAATTAATTGGTTTTTGGCAAGTTTTGTACGATAAATCTGCTAACATCTTCCATTTCCTATGAAGAAATATATATATAAATCTTTAGATGCCATAAGATAAAAATGTATGATTAAAAATTTTACCTGATTACATGATGAATGCTCCATATTTCTATATTCTTTAAATGTATATTGTTTAAAACCCATTGCTTTAATACCTTGTTCAGTAAGACGAGCCCATTGTATTTGAACCATTGAATCTTGATCACCTATATGGATAAATAATGCATATTTTCCTTTTATGTTATTCATTTATTTTCTATATACCATGACATTGAAGAATTGGTAAATTGGCTTTGTGATCACCGGATACAAGTGCCTAACACAAAAAAAAAAAGAATTTTTTTTTCTTTTAAATTTTATTCCAATCAAATAAAAAATCAACTTTAGGAAATGTTGTCGATAATGGAAGCCATGTTGATAAAGCCAAAACTCCACCAAGTGTATGTGGAGAAGTCAATGCTAAAGAGAATTATATAAATAAATATGAGAAAAATAAAGATATAAAAGAAAAAACAAGAATCGAATACCTGCATGAATAGCAATAGCACCACCCCTGAAAATAAATATTGAATATTTAGGGAAAAATTTTTAAAAATCTATTGATTAACTCACATTGAAAAACCACCAACAATCTACAAAAAATTATTTAATCAAAAAATTATAAAAATTTTAACAAATTTTATTTACTCACTATACGTTCCGGTGGTATTCCGAGTTTAATTTCTTCTTCAACAAGATCATTTACTTAAAATAATATCATAAACAAATAAAAGAAACAATAAATTCAAAAAAAAATCTTACAAATTTTTGATGATTTTGCAATGCCTGGTTCATCTTCTTTAGCATTTTGATCAAGACCATAAATATCGAACCCTGTTTCAAAAAATTTAATTTTCATATTTATTATATTAAATGAACTTACAACTAGGCATTGGCATTCCCATATTTAATGTTACTCTTTGAATTGGACTATTCAGAGAAAAAAAAAACAAATATTTTTATAAATCGAATTTATTTTTTTTTAACTTACGCATTTGGAAATATAAATTTTACATGCGGAACAGCTTTTGGAATCCGATACATGTTAAATGCTTCAAGCCAACTTGTTCTTTAAAGAAACAAAATATAATAAAAATCAAATAATAAAATTTAATACACAATTAGTATCTAAATTTAGATCAGATTTGATTCCATTGACACTCAGATAGAACTAAACATTCAGGATGATATTTTATCTTCCGAAAGCGAGAACACTTGTTTTTGGGAGCATAAACATATAGTCACAGGTGCACCAGAATAAATGTTTCTCTAAGTATTTTCTCATTATCATCATCTAGCACTTAGCCCAAGATTTTTGATCAGAGAGAGCCTCAACGTTTCATTCTCTAAAACTCTCCAATATTCAAAAAAGTGTATTCGAAGCTTTTCAATTATTTTAAGTTTTCGAGAGAGCGCTACTTGTTCTGTATTGAGCAAAGCATTTGCATTTATGTGCTGAAAGCTTGACTATTTTTATTCAGAGAATCGAAAATTACACCCTACAGGAATATTCTGATCACGGTCTACTTTTCTATCAATTCAGCTGGAATGAACATTTTCGATAGTATATTGGATAAGGTATCAATTTTGGTTAAACAATAGAATCGTAACATGATATAACAATGAAATTTGGAACATATTTTGTTTAAAAATCTTTAAAAGAGATCGATTAATTGATTAAAATGAGATTAGATATAATTTGATCATGAGTTGACGAAGAAGTGAATAGAATTTTTTGAAATTTAGAAAGCTAGCTCTAATCGTCAAAAGAGAGAGAGAGAGATTTACGATAAAACCCCGATAGAAACCTACAAAAACTTCAGTAGCGTAGAAGACTATATACCACGACATCATTTCTATCAGTGATTATCAGTTCTTTGCAACAACTTCTTAAAGAATGCAGCGGAGTTCTTAATCCTCGTCGTTGTGCCCTAATCTTTTTTTAAAGATTAATAATTTAATTTTCTATAGCTGTCACAAATTAAAAGAGGTCTGTTTAGGACTATTCCTTGGAGTCTTAAATTAGCGAAAGAAAAGAGATAGCAATCTTGTAGCATTTGAAAAGCTCTGCCTTGCGTCAGTACTTGTTGTATAAACGAATTATTTTCTTTTTTCAAACTTCACAAAAATAATGATTTTGAGCGTTTCAAGATAATTTGAATTAATTGACGAAATAAGTCAGTTCATATAATTTAACTTTATGTAAATTTCAAAAGACATGAATGATGTATCAGACTGAAATGTCAGAATTAGAATAGAATTCTTTATTCAGATGCATTGCGCGCAAAACAAGCTAAGTTTTACATGTTTTTAGCTCAGTTTTTATAAAGTAGTTTTTCCATCAAAATAAAAAACTTGATTGAAACGAATTTCAATGTACGTCATGAGAAAAGAACGCACTTAGGAATAGTTCTAAACGTACACTGCCAAATTGTTATATTTCTACATACTTAATTGTTTTAAAAAAAAAACAAAAGTTGAAACTGGAAATGTTAAACTGTGATTCATGAGTCTTTAAAAAACAAATATTACGGCATGGCGATATTGAGAAAATACTGAGAAGAATTTATTCTGGCCCAGCTATTCTATGGTACAATAACCACATACTTCGGAAAGGTCAACCTGATCGTTGCAAAGGCAACGCCTTCTTGGTTCCTCTATTGGATAAAACACTAACTAGGGATATACTTAGTTTTAATCAGTAATTTTTCAAATATTATAATACATTCTCAATATCCAGTTTGATGGTCAAATAGAACTGATCAGAGTATACAAGCTCATTCCTCTGAATCATGATTTTCTTCAGTGTCAATTCAAATGTATGGGGCAGGGTTTCTTAGTTCCAATCTACAGAAATATTATTTCAATATTTATTCGTATGAAATTTACAAGTTTTTAACTACATATTTTTTGATTAAATTCAGTCAGCGACTCTAATCCAAACACTTTATTCAAATATTTCATTAGACACGAGTTTAGATAGAATCTGGCACATATATGTATATAAATATTCATACCCAGCATCGCCGAGACCATGTAAAAAGAAGACCTAAACAAACGAAATAATATTTAAATTATTAACATAAACACAAGAATTAACTTACAGTAGCAGTCTGCTTGGCAGTAGCAAGAATAACAGCCGGTGATTGACTCATTTTACGAATTTAATCTCTCGATAATCTAGATCAATAAAAATAAATATATAGAACACAAAAAAGAACCTAAAAACAAATAAATCTTCTTTTATTAAATAATACTAAATACAAAGCTAAATCACAAAAAAACAATCCTAAATTTTAGCTTCAATCTTTGATAAATGTTGTTTGATGAAAGCAATAACATCTTTGATTTCCTAAATATACGAAAAAAAAAATTAAGAAAATGATATCTATTTATATATTAGTTTTTCAATGCAAAATTTAAACAATTAATATTCAATTGTAATTACTTCATCACTTGATGAATGTACCATTCCATCATATTCTTTAAAAACATATTTTTTAAAGCCCATTGCTTTGAAAGCTTTTTCACTTAATCGACCCCATTCCATTTGAACGACTGGATCTTGTTTACCTATGTTAAAAAAAAGAAAAAATTAATTTTTCTTCTTTACATTTAATTCTTAAATACCATGACATTGAAGAATAGGTAAATTCAATTTCTTATCACCGGCTACAAGTGCCTAAAACACATAAGAGTACTTCATATTGCTTTTTTTTAAATTACTAATTCAACTTTAGGGAAAGTAGAAGATAGCGGAAGCCATGTTGAAAGAGCTAAAACACCAGCTAACATATGAGATGTTGTTAATACTAGAATAACAACTACATAAGAGAAACCAAACGAAATAATACATATATTACCTGCATGAAGAGCAGCAGCACCACCCCTTGAAAAATCAGAGCATTTTTTATAATGTTCTCATAAAGTAAAATTTAAGAAGATTTTATTTTTCCTTATATCATAAATGGATTTCTAGAGCCTGAGAAATTGGTTATGAATATGTACTTTTTATTTTAATTGAATTATCTGTTCGTTGCAAAATGTTTCAAATACAAATCAGACCACAGAGATAAACAAAATGAATCATTTTCTAATTCAGTATTGTAGATTTTTTTGCACATATTTGTAGTTTTTTTGATAGAAGATAAAATCACATGTCTTATCTGATTTTGAGCTATAAAACTCATCATTTTGTTCTATTGATGAGAAAATTGAACAGTTTTTCGTTTTAGTAGAAAAGTAACTCGAAGTTTCTATTATCAAAACAAAATAAAAAGTATTTTCAAAATCAACGTAAAAATTTATACTAAGCTACGAATATTTAAACAAAACTAATTTTCAACAGAAAATTCACCTATCATTTTTCTTCCCAAATTCTACCTCTAGTCGATTTTCAATTTCATAGATAATTTGCTGAAACGTATTGTGACTAGGTATAGACCTTTCCCGCTGATTTTGCATATGCTATTTATTTTATTTTTTGATTGACGAAGTAACCTCTCTTGATGTCTAATCGTTTTTCTCCAAAAAGCTATGGTTATGCTTAAGTTACGATGAAAATCAACTTTCAACTTCAAACTTTGCACAAATAAATTTCTCGATGAGATTAAATGATTGTACAACTTTTAGTTGTTCTAGTATTTCCTTTCTCGGGATGAACAAAATTTGCTTTTACACATGAAAGAATTTCGAATATTCAATATCTTAGAATAGGAGATACTAGCAAAGTTTAAAATCGATTATCCATCTGACTTGAGAAATACCATAGATTTTCGTTGCAAAATCCAGTAAAATTTTCATACATTAGTATTTGAAGCATTTCGCAATAAAGAGATGACTTCATTAAAAAAAAAACTATACATTTGATAACCAATTTTTCAAGCTTCATCAAACCATATAGGAATCAATGAAAAATCAAATCCATTTGAATTTTACGTTAGATGCATCTTAATTAAAACTCACTGTGAAAAACCACCAACCATCTAAAACAAGAAAATAAATACAAAAAAAAGTAAACTATTGACTTGTTATTCACTTACAATACGTTCCGATGGAATTCCATTCTTAATTTCATCTTCAATTAAATCATTGACTATGAAAATAAAATTAAAATAATTTCTTTAAAAAGAAATTCTATTTACGATATTTCGATGCTTCTAATATTCCTTTTTGATCTTCTTTTGAACTGCGATCAAGACCATGCGCATCGAACCCTATGTTTTTTCAATGAATATCAATTTATTTTTCATATTAACTTACAACCAGTCATTGACATTCCATAATTTAATGTTATCTTTCGTATTGGACTATCCATAGATGAATATACTAACAAGAATATTATTATTATTTTTCACTTACGCTGTTGGAAATATAAATTTTACATGTCGAGCATATTTCGGAATATTATACATATCAAATACTTCAAGCCAACTTTCTCTGAAATAATAGAAACAACAAAAATATAGATCTATAATAAAACCATATCTTGTCAATTGTAACTTTCAAAATTTTATTCGTTGCTCGTAACTTACTTAATTCAGTAGTATATGTTTATAATCAAGTTCGAATTGATAATTTATGATATCGAACAAAAAAAATGCTCGATAACGGTTAACTAGAGATATTGTGAAAGAATAAGCTTCGACTGAATTTTTTTATTTAGCTGATATCTTTTTCTTCGAAAAAAATAAAACAAATAGTAATATCTTACCCAACATCACCAAGACCATGTAAAAAGATTAACTAAAATATTATCAAAAGAAAATAATTCATTCATTAACGTTCTAGAACAACTTACACTAGCTGTATGTTTATCATTTGCAGGAATAATTGCAGATGGTTTATTTATTTTAATTGATTTAACAATATTCTTTTCTGCTTGTGTTATTGATCTAAATGAATTTTAACTCTTAGTTCAACGTATTTTTCATAAAATATTCTAAATTACGAAGAAAAACTTGACATTGAACGATAGAAAATCGTTCCAAAATAGGCTAAACTGATCGTAACCATGAAGTAGATGATATTGATACTCCAAGCCACTATTTTTTCGTTATCTTAGTATGATTATATATTGAATTGTCTAATACGAGATGTAGTGATATAAACCATGAAGAAAATGCAAATTAATGTCAAATGCATGTTATGAGGCGACATCTAGATTTTATGGAAGTATTAGAAAAAGAAATTATTATCGAAATGTGTTGAATACGATTGCATATTCATCTGTATATTTTATTTTTACAAAAGATGAGTTTCACGCAAAGAGTGGCACTACACAACAGTCATATTTCAATAAGAGAGTAGAACAAAACATGCAAAACGCAAGATATTTCTAAAACCAAGTCTCTAATTTTTGTTGATCACAAGAATTTAATATCATTAATAATCTATATCAATATTGTATATCATATGCTGATTAATATCATATTTTCAAAATGAGTTTCAATCGAAGTGCATTCATAGTTTTCCATTTTGACATTGATTAGATGATTCATACATGTATGATCATAAGCTAGAAACAAACAACTGAGGTGGCAAGAAAATAGCTCGAGAAATTTTATTGGTTATAAATTAAACATATAGAAAAATAAAATAGAATTATTTTGTTTTTGGTCAACTCAAAACGTTCACCGACAAACTAACAAATTAAAAATATAATCTACTATTGACGTTCAGTAATCACCGTTCAAAATTTCAGTAGTATTTTCTCCTTTTTTCGTTATGGTTTGTTTGGTGGACCTCATCGAGTTGCATTAGAAAAAGTATGTTTCAAATTAAAAAAAAAAACATTTCAAAAGAAACATCCAAGATACCATCATTCTCAGATATCAGGAAAAATAGACCCAAAATTCATGATAGATACTTTTTCTAATGTAACTCAATAAGCTTCATCCAATGGTGACGCTGAAAAAGAAGAAAAAAACTATACTTTTTGAAATTTGTTAATTTGCCGGTGAATACTTCAATTTTATTCGAATATATCTAGTCTTATTAACTTACCATACAAACAGTTTCATAATGAGCTGTCTTTATTAATTCGTATAAACTAAACAATATTGGTCTAGTCTTAATCATGCCCTTCGATAGGTATTTAGTATCATCTATTATCTCGCAGTTTGAAGATGAATCGATCCTTATTTGGGGAGATATTAATGTCATTTTTGGTATGTCCGTTGGATATGTCAATATAGCATGGATTCGTGCACTTGACTGAAATGGTCGGTTAGGTTGTCATTTTCAGCATTCAGTCACTATGTTTGATAAATGATATAGATTAAACCTTGCTCTTTACCTACTCATACTCTCATTGACAAAAATGCAGCATTCACTCATAAGAGCCTTACTAGGAAACACATTATCAACAGTTCATTTGAAAGCGTAGAGTAAAGTAGATATACAGAATATAGAGTTGAATGTTTGTAGTGAGTGAATGGCATCCATTGAAATGATGAATAGAGTATGTCCCACCGATGATTGTATCATATGAATATGAGCAACTCAGATTGTTTCATGTTTAAACTTTGAGATAATAGATAACACTGAATATCTATTCAAAGATATGTATTCAGACTCGTCAAAAACTTATTGCTCATATTATTAAAAATGTGTTGACTGACGATGAGAAGGAAACAATGTTTGTTCTGTTTCAAATTAAATCACAAGAAAACAAAAAATGTGAAAGTTCAAAAGTCAACGTAATTAATGTTTTCAGAAACTTCATCAGTGCGATGTGGATGAAGTTATTTATTAATAAGTACAAATATTATTCGCCATACAATAACTTCGATGAATTTTTCGAAGGAACGTGACAAAAGAAATCATTTTTCTTCTTTGGAAAAGGACGTTTTTATATCATTATTAAATATAATCATGTACTACTGTAGATTGCACATTCCTTTGAAAACAATTTCATTCAATTTGTTTTTTAAAAGAAAGGATATGAATACTATTTTGACAATAAAAGTTGTTTTTCTCAGATAAAACTATGTTGTGTACTTAAAGCCTTATCAAATTGTGTCTAATATCTTGGATGTTTCTCTTGAAATGTTTTTTTTTTTTTATTTGAAACATACTTTTTTGAATGCAACTGAAAAAGCTGTATCCAACCATGACGAAAAAAGGAGAAAACTGCTCAAATTTTGAACTGCAACAACTACACACATATTGTAAATACCTTAAAATTCGAATATTTTGGTCCGTGCACGCCAAGGGCAGATTATATTTCTAATTGATAAGTTTGTCGGTGAATGTTTTAAGTTGATCGAAATATGTCTAGTCTTATACTAACAATAGAAACACCTTCATTGTAAGTAAAAATATTTGAAAAAAATAATTGATTCATGATTAGAAATATATGAACAATAAAAAAAGAATAATTGTCAATTTTGTTTTACATTAAAACTGTTTACATCAAGGATGTCACAAGTTCGCCGTAGTTTGACATGAAAAGAGTCGATAACTCAGGAGAATGATTGGAAGATTTTTGCGAAATTCAATCGAGTTTGAAGGCAGAGTTGAGTATCTTTTAGATTGAAAATATACTTTTCCCTCATAATTATAAGATATTACAATCTATTACGACACTTCAATATAAGATACTGACCCACCTAGGGTTCACACGCAAGCAAAATCAAATCTCTCAGATTAGAAATAATTTTTAGTATATTTCATATTGCTGATCTACGCTTTTTTCTAAAACAAAGAAAGTCTTTCGTAGTCAACTATACAGTAGAAACTTACTTGTCTTATATTTACAAGTAACATGCATTGAGAGTAAGGTACCAGATAAATGCACGAGAAGACTTGGTATATAACAGCGACTAGTTTTACAAAATCAATTGTAAATATTAGCTATACGTTTCTTAGATTCAGCATATATTTGCAATTTTATTAGTTTTTACAGAAATTTTGTCAAATTGTTCGATTCTCTGTATTGTTATAACTATATTCATTTTTTTATTTTCATGCTGCTCTTAAAATTTTATTTTCAATTTCAAATGGTAATTGAGCAGAGTGAATGAAAAATTCTTTTTATCATATATTGATACATGTCGAAGTTCTGAAATTTTATCTATCATATGCGGTCAAACGAGTAGTAGTTTATTAATTTGCGTAAACATAATTTTGTTTATACTACGCAGAACGCTAAAGTAAATAATTCTGTACGAAATGAGACGTTTCCAAGTTCTCTGCAGCATTTTGTTTTAGCTCAGATACAATGTAGAGAACTTGGAAATATCTCATTGGTAACCAGATAATAAACGCATTTTCTTTATTCGAATCACTATTTAGAATCTTTCTAGAGCTTATGACAACAACAAAAATCAAAATAAACCTTGCTCAATAATTTCAGAACTCACTGTAGATTGATTTCTAAAGATACCATAGAAATCAATACAATTAGTTATGTTAGTACTATTTCTATTGCAAAAAAATTAACATCAGTAATATGAATTTAGTTTATCATAATTTTATATTCAAGCTCACTATCTAACTCTTAATCCTCAATGCATGGTATCTTCATGTATACACCAATGAATAATCAATCGACCCATTCAATAGCTTAATAACAATGTTCATCATTTGTAAAAAAAAAAAAAAACATTCCGAATCGAAAAAAAAGCGCTCGGGCACCACCGTAAGTCGCTGTATATTGACGTATTACATAGTTCAGTATTATCAAGTGTATAGAGTCATTCCACATAGTATACCGATTTCGTATTCTTCGTCCTGAAATCTTACTACTTGATTAATTTGTATCCTAATATATAAATACCATTTTTTGTCATCTGACACAGTCATTTTTACCATAGTTTGTACAATAAATTATATCTTTCCATAAGTAAGAAAAAAAAATGATGATGACGGATGCTTAATTGATATCTTTTCTATATTGAGACTTTTAGTAATCGGAGTACTATGTCAATATTATAGAAATCAATATTCTAATTTCTTAGTCATTTTGAAATTGAATGGTATTAATATTTTCGAGAACAACACAAAAAATTATTCATTGTTTCTTTTTTAAAATCCATTTCTAAATACAAAAAGAAACGTCAAATTAAATTTATTATACTACACCTATGTCTAATGTTTTTTTCTATTCGAGTTACAAAAATTTACCGCATGATATTCTTCTCTTGAGAGCTAATCATGTTTCAAAAGACTAGTAATTATAAGATTATAGGTTGATAAACAGTTCAATGCAAACGATAAAAAATTGATAGGATGCTATCGATTGATTTATATGTCAAGCTTCATAGATCTATTCATTAAATTCTTTATTAAAAAGGAGAGAAAAAAAAACAAAATACGCACTATTCAGTTGAATGTAATCTAATCATTTTGCACTGCAAAATACAGTATTTGCTCACAATGACTACTTTATTTTCGAAAAATAGTACTTTTTTTTTTAGTAAGATTGTATCATAAAACGGTAGCAACAAACGAGAGAAAAGAAGATCATCCAACTTGAAAGAGAACGAGATGCAAGTGTATTCTTTTGTTGTAAAGACTTGTCATAAGCTAAAATTGGAGTCGGTCGATGAATGTTAGGCAATTGTGATATACTTGAATTACGTATGTGATTTTGATTCAATTGCGATGGTTTGTTTATGATAGTAAAACGTGATGTAGTTGAATGGTTGACATGACTGTCATGCACTTGTGATGACTTGCTAGTTTCAGGTAAACGAGATGTAGTTGAATAGTGTACATCATTATCATGCAATTGCGATGGTTTGTTGACGTCTGGCAACCGAGATGTACGTGAATAATGTACATAATCATTATTCCATTGTGGTGGTTTATGTGAGATAAACATAGATTGTGAAGTTCGATGGTCGTGATCATTATACTGTTGTAACGGCTCTTGTGGATTCAACAAAGGTAGTGGGGTTTGATGATCATAAATATTTAGCACTGGAAGTGGTGTTTTTACATCAACAATTTTAATAACTTTTTCTGGTTGACTATTGCATCGATCTGTATGGCAACATGTCAAATTGAGATATGTTTCCGGTTGTTGACGCATTTGTTCACATTTAGCTTGTGATGTCCATCCACGATGCCATTGAATTATTCCATTTTGCTTATCATCATCAGTACATTCTGCATGATGATTTGATCCTCGTAATGCATGAGAACAAACACTTCTATAACTGAAACAAGCACAACCAACTTTTGAACATGGCTCATTTGCATCAGTTGTATATGATGTAATTGCAGTTTGATGATATGCATAACCCAACGTCATGTTTAATATAGGACTTCTAGATTCTACATGTTGATATGTCAGGTAACATTTTATTGATTCCTTAAATTGTTTTTCAGTTGAAACTTTTGAAATAATGAAAATAAATGAAACGAATACAAGTTGGATAAAGGCAAACATTTTTGTCCTATCTATTTGTTTATGTGTACGTGCAACCAATAGATCAAATATAATAATTTGTCGAGCACTACCATCGGTATATATCATTTAACACCCGTTCTTTTTTTTTCCTATCATTTCTATCGAAATAACAACAAAATAGAGTCTATATGTGTTATAAGAAACAACAGAAAACATGTAAACAGAAACCTGGCAATTTATTTTCTCCACCAACATAACTAACCCATCACATCAGCAGTGGTCTTTTTGACTCATGGAATTTGCTCATATAAGAAATGTCATCTCAGCTAGTATTTTTATCTTTTGTATATAGTCAATTTTTGCGTTCTCTTGTAGAATACAGAAGGAAAAAAGCAAGGCTAAACTGTCATTTCCATCGAGCTGCATGACATCGTGATAATAGTGCGCAACAGATGTTTCGTATAGAATCTAAAGAAAATTGGATATAACAGATGAAAAAATACGATCAATCTTGAAAACATTGTTGATAATAAATCTTAATTCGATAAAAGGATTGGATGACAACGATGAAAACCTTTGGTATATTATATGCCTTTTATTCTGTAATATGTTGTTTTCTACTTTTGCAAATTTTTTGTAGAAAAAATTAAAATTTATTTTCTTTTTGTCAGCAAAACTTCTTAGCGCAGCTCTCCTTAGGGCTGAAATGTAGAGCTCACATATTTTCTTTACCCTTATCATACCAAAACAAGATATGTAAAGTGAAATTTCTGCACTTAAAACCTAAAAATATTTTCTTCTTTTTTTTTTTTGTATAGACGCCCTATTTTTTGTTTATATCGTTGTTATTCGTTTGTGATTTTTTATTTTCTTATTTCGCTTTTTTCCTCACTTAACATTGTTATTATTATAAGTATGGAATTAAATGGCAAATAACGTCGTTGTAAATGTCAATCACATCTACAGGAGTAGATCTTAACGAACTATTATAAATCTTGATCAACTCCCAAACATCGATACTGATTATTTTCCAAAGTGATAACTTGATCAATTCATGCTTTTTTTTTATGTTGATCATATAACACCCAATGGCAAAGCAATGCATCACCATTCATCATCATTGACAATGAGAAAAGCTGAAAAAAACTTTGACTTAAAACTTATATTCACAACTTTCTTCGAAACTATATGTAAATTCTAAAGTATTGAAGTGAAATTCGTAACAACTAATAAACGCTGCATCATATATTGAGATTCTTATGGAGTAAAGCACGAAAAACAAAATTTTGTTTTAATTCACAAATAAAAATCAATAGGAAAAAAAAATGCATTCTTATGTATTCTTCAATTCGATTAAAACAACATCGATTTTCTATAATGTCATCTTTTATTTCATACACATTTAGTATAATCAATTTTTTACGAACTGCTTCTACCATGTACAGTATACTAATGATGAATTTCATCCAAATTAAAAGAAGAGTGTTTACTTTATTTTGAAAAAAAAATACAAATACAGATATTAATAATAGAATCTTTTATTTGATGCAATATCACTTTATTCACCACCTTCGGGTGCATCACGAATAATATGTAAACCTAGTCAAAACAAAAACATCACACAATCAAAATAATATAATTAAAATTTTACCATCAAGTTTTTTTAATGGTTTTAAACGTTTTTGAACTTCAGCTTGCCAAATTTCTTGTTTACCATCATTATCTTCTAAGAATTTATCATGCAATGGATTTCCATTAAAAACCAATTCATGAAGTGTTTGTAATTCTGCCTAATTATGAACAAATTCTAAGTTTTAATGAACCGAAAAAAAGAACATTTTTTTTTTCTTCTTACTAATTTTTGAAATTCGCCCCATTCTTTAACAGCATTGTTACTCATATAGAGTACCTTTAATTTTTTCATTCCACCAATACCTTTTAATTTTTCAATTTGATTATACGATATCCATAATTCTTCAAGTGTATCACCAACAGCTTCCTGAATGAAATTATTAGAAAATCGAGAAGTATGAACTCAATATACGAAGCATTTATCAAGTGTTTTTTTTTTAAATTTTGTATACTCATTCGAAAGAACATTGTTGAAAAACCACCAATTCTAAATTTTAGATATTCTATAGAGATATTAGTCTATATCAACTTTCTAGCACTAACTAACTACTTTCAAGAAAATAATTCCATAGATATTTTCTGAAATTGTACGTCAATAAATTATTTGAATATCATCTATTCACAAAAGTTATAGAATCGAACATGAGTAAGAAAAGGCGCAATTTTTCAGTCAATAACATTCGATTTTTAATAAAATATCTGATGCCATTTATTGGAATCAAAAGACCATAAGTTGAATTTTTCATATGTTATGTAACCTTTTATTTCTTTATAAATAGTAAGAAAAATATTTTAAAAAAATGACCCAGACAGACAGTTCATTCGAAGAAAAAAAAAAGAAAATTTCAACCATAAGTAGGATACGAAAAATTTTTGAAAATCGCTTTTTTTTTTGTGTAACCGAATTGTGATCATCCAAGAAGTTAGAACTTGCAGGTCATATAATCGAAATGTATTATCTATCAGTGGTAACTTTGTAATGTAGAGTGTCCTTCCGGTGAAACATCTGAGGCTCTCTAACAAGTATGTGATCTTGATGGATCATTTTATAGAACTAAATTACAAATGATAAGGCATTTCGATCATATGACTGTAATCAGCATCCTAAATCTTGTCTTCCTAAATGATCATTATTCGATTATATGAAAAAGCAAAATTTTGAAAATTCCCATGTACCACCACTTAGAAATACAGAACGGTCGAAATTTAGTTTTCTCTTTTCCAAATGAACTGTCTATGCTATTCAATACAGGTTGAAGTCTTAGTTTCTTCGAGATAAAAATTTTCTTGAATCAAAGACGTTGAAATGTACCTAACTTTGTTTCTATGAAGCCTGTTCACTTGATTATTGACTCTGTAAGGCATTGTTTGCATCGAAAGAAAACTTTTTTCAATATTTTTTAACATTTTCTAGAGAGCCAAAAGTTACATAACATAAGAAAAATTCAACATAAGGTTTCTTGATTTCAATAGATGACAGGAAATATACTATTAAAAAATTAGCCGTTATAAACTGGAAAAAGTTTTCTTCGAAGTAGTGCTAGAAAAATTGATATAAACTGATTTTTCAATGATGCTCTTTGAATCAGTAAAACCAAATCATATTTTTGATGAAATTCTTCAGTTCTCTTGTGAGTATTCTCGTTATTAAAATAGAAAACAATTGAAGTCTCTTACCAAACCAACAAGATTTTTTATTAAATTTCGACCAAGTGAAAGAATTTTTAAATTTTCTAAATTTTATTCGAAGAAAAATTTTGTTTATTTTTTCATTTAAATTAAACAATAAATCTTACTTAAACCATTAAGATTGGCTATTTTTTCAATTAGATTTGTTGATAAAGATAATTTTCTACAACAATACACTAAATTAAAAAAAGCAAGATACAGTGAAAACAAAATTTCCGCACTCGCAATTGACTAATGTTGAAATAGAAGCATCCATTTTATCAATTGGTGGAAATTGTCCATAGAGTAAAACTTCTTTTGCTTCTGCAGCTTTTTGCTGCGTTTTTTCTTCCTAATAAATATAAAATAATTTGCTTTTTTCTTTTTTGTTGCTTTAGTTTTTCTAATTAAGTATTACCCATTTTGCCAAAGCTTCTTTTGTTGTCATACTTGCTTTCGCCTATTCAATATAAATCATTTCCTTTTTTTTATTAATTAGAAATATTTCTCACCATGATGTGATTTTTCTATGTATCAAGTTAGTGTTAACAAAGTTTATATTTGGAAGGTTATTAATGAAATTTAATTTCGTACCATTCAGCTTGTTGGTTGTTTGGATACAACCTTCATAGATGGATGAAAGTATTCAGAACTTTTATGAACATAGTTGATGATACGAAATCAGTAATTTGGATTATTAACGAAGTTTTTCTTGTGAAAAGCATAACAGCAACAAGTAAACATATTCGATTACTACTGACATCTATCAAAATGATGCTTTTACAAGGAGTATACTCTTGAAATTTTTCAAATAGTTCAGGTTAATTGTGTGAGTATACGTTTCCAAAGTTTTACGGTCAAATAGTAAACATATGAATTGACCAGTTTTCATACGTTATTAGAATCAATACGATTTAAACTGTCTGAATAATGCTCTTCTGTTGAATATAAAATTGTGATTGAATGAAGCAGTTCGAATCTATTTCTGAACTTGATATTCATCAGCTAAGTAGCAACACAATGTCGTATTCTGATCTATTCTCAGAAATTTCAATACAAAGAATAACGATTGCTGCTAGAAATTAATTCATGAACTAGAGGTCATGCAATTTCTTACCTTTTGATCTGTCTAGAAGTGTAATACAATTCAGAATAAGAAAAATTTATTCGATATTTTGGACGGAAATGAGATTTCTAACTCGTTATTTTTTATTCATTATTATCATATAATCTCTTCTGAAAGTCTAATGATTTTATTTTACACTTTAGGCATATTTATGTACAATAGATTTTATCATTCAAAATTTACTTAAGCTATAAGAGATATCTGAAAATGATGACAAATAAAGAAAACTATCGTTTACTCTTCAATCTATAAATAGTATTTGAAAGATATGACTTGTCTTGAAATCAGATTCGATCTATAATTTCTATGAATTCTATAATGCAGATTAGTCATGTATTTTGTTCGATCTTTTGAAATGTTATTCTATTTCATTTATATTTCCTCCAAAAATCAAAGAGAATGACTACAGTTTTGATTTATAGGGATTTTCAAGTCGAATTTGATTTCAGTACTCATCTTATCTTCATAATATCTTATTTCATAACTTTACTAACTAACCTAAAATTATATGTTAATGTAAAATCAATATCAAAAGCAAACAATCTGTAAATATTTTAGATGATTAATGATTATTTTTTTAATGAGTTGTATATATTTATTGAAGCATTACGTGTTAAGAAAACCAATTAATGTATTTGTCATGTTTTTTTATCTATAAATCAATTACGTTTGTGATTATTATTTTTATTTCTTAAATATATATCAAAAATACAATATTCAAAAGTCATGCAGTTTATTGAATTTGATTCTATTCAAATTTTGATTTTGTTTAGAAGTCTTTTTTTTTCAAAGAATATTTATATCTGTTGTCAGAATGTGTCTCTTTTTTGTTGTGTTTTGATAAAATAAATCATTATTTCTCTACGTTGGAAAGATAAGCGTCATGTATAAAATGCATAACGATAGTGTGTATGATGATTGGTTTTTTCAAATGAAATAATATGTCAATACATGAAAAAAAACAGAACTGTTATAAAAGTGATTACAAAGAATCAAGACATTATAAAAAGGCATTTGGTTTTTTTCTTTTATTCAGTTTATTAATTAGCTTTATAGATAATGCCTTTTTTTTTTTGCTTTGATGAATAGATAGAGACACAAGTATGTGACGGTATTTTTGCATATGCGAATAAGCTAAAAATATACAAAACCACTACTTTTCGTGATTACGTGTCAAACTTTTTATCTCGCTTTTCTTATTGCAATCTAAGTGCATATAAGAGTGTGAATATGTTCTTCTCCTGCTGCCAACAAGAATAGTTAAGATAGTTATTCATTTTCTCTTTATTTTTTTCTTTCTTCATATCTATCTATCTTTTCTTTGCATTTTGTAATATCATATAATGTCCAACTATTTAAATAGTGTCACCACCACATCAATTTTATGTGTTAATGTATGAAAAGCCTTTCAAACATTTATAATGTTGCGTATTATAAATATAAGACGAACAAGTTCGGGATACTATAGCCATCGTAGTGGAGAACAGGTAAAGAAAAATCAACTATTAAAAAAGAAAAAAAAAATACTAATACATAATCTCATGACAAGGTTTGATTTCTTGTGCTCATATAAGATAGTCTATTAGAACAAATGAAAACAACATCATAGTTTTACACCATTACTTTCTTTTTTTTTCTAACTGAACAAGTAGTACTTATAAAAATAAAATGATGTAAAGAGGCAACATATGTTTTACATATATGTCTGAATGAAGACCAAAGGCATTTAGAGAAAGAATTTTTTTTTTTCTTTATTCAAATACAAATAGTAAAATGAATATACAATATAAGTTTTTATTCGTGTCATTTTGTTCCCTTTTTTTTCTACAATATTTTGATTATCAATACAATAATGTTTGATAGAAAAACATGATATTGATCATCATACAATATCAATATGAAAGTTTATAGGATAACTTTAAAATTATTGCAGAAACTCAATTCGAGTTTTATTAATGAACGCATTCACCAGTAATAATGATGACTAAACGAAACAACTTGTCATTGTTGCCAGCAGGCAAATGTTTTGACAAGAGATATAAACATTTTGCATAGATATATGATGAAATACTTGTTGATATTTTCTTTCCTTTACAAATAAGAATTAGACGAATACAAATATTTTATTTTCTTTCTTTTGTAATAGAAGTTTTATGTAATGTCATAAACTATATACATATACAGATATAAATGTACTTAAAATTTGCTTGTATGGCTCTAGGTACAACATACAATAATTATATATATATTTACATTCTTTAGAGCAAGAAAAAGAAAGAAAGAAAGTCTAGGTTTAAATAGCTGAATGATCTTTTCTTCTTTTTCTTCCTCTTATATGCACGCCCCCTACTATGGATTCAAAACGTGCATTGCCATTCGATCGTTGCGGTCGTATATGTTTTTTTCCTTTTTTTTTTTATATCTCACATACAGCCTTTATTAGTGTTGACGCATCCCATTCTGTTACGTTTATTATCCATCATTATAAAAGACGATTGCACAAAAATATTTTTTTGGGAAACAACAGGCAAAAAGACAACGACATTTTGCTTTCCTTACATGTATTTTCCAGTTTAACTTTGTTCTCCAAAAAAAAACAACAAGAAAATATACTTGTATTAATATATATATATACGTATATATATATATATATATATACACGTATAAGCAATGAATCAGGAAAAAGACGAAACAATTGTTATGGAAGAAGAGGTGAGAATAGTAAAATTCTGGATGATGAAAAAGAAAAGAAAAATTTTTTCAAAAATTTTTTTTTATTTTATTTTTATTAATTTAGAATAAAGATGCCGGCGGTGCGAGTGAAGCAACAACAAATAGCGGATCAAATAAACATAAAAAACAGACAGATGACGAAGAAGAAGAAGATGAACCGGTTTATGTTGAATCAAGTCAATGTTCCCGGTGGCAAAAACGACGTGAAACAGTTTGTTTATTTTTTAATTTTGAAAAACAAAAAAAACAAACATTTTTATTTTTTTCAAGGTTACTCAACGTGATATTCCCGGTATTGATGCATCTTATTTAGCAATGGATACAGAAGAAGGTGTCGAAGTTGTTTGGAATGAAGTTTTATTTTCAGAAAAAAAAATTAGTGATATTCAACACGTAAGATTAAATATAAAATAAAAATATTCTTTATTTTTGCTTTATTTACAGAATAAAATTAGTGAAGTTTTTGATAAATTAATTGAATTAAATCATATGAATATTGTTAAATTTCATGGTTATTGGCAAGATCGAACCAAACATGATGATCGTCCACGAGTAATAAAATTCATATTTATTTTTTTTTTTGATATAACAATAATGCTTATAATTGATCATACATCTAGCTTTTTTCTAATATGTCAAGATGATTTCAACATATAGAACAATCTAATTTTGAAATGCATGTTTTCATTGAAACGTTAATATACGAAGTACAATATTCATCCATTTTTACGTATGATGTATACCCAAATTTGAGCAATATTCATGCACATTCATTCTTAGTACTTCTAGTTTAGCAGAGTAGATATATAATATAGTGAAACTATGAAAACAGAACTAAATTTTTTATATTTCGAAGCTATCTTGAGATATTAGAAGAGCCAAGCGTATGATCAAGTATGAATATTACGGTCTATATATATATATTTTGTACTTCTATGTAGGTTGTCTTTATAACGGAATATATGTCAAGTGGTTCATTAAAACAACTTTTACGTAAAACAAAAAAAACTAAACAAAGTTTATCGAAAAACTCATGGAAACGTTGGTGTATTCAATTATTATCAGCACTTAAGTATGTTCAAAATAAAAACTTATATTAGAATAAATCTTTAGTTTTATTATGAAAAAAAGAAAAAGTTCAATAACTATGTATTAGTCTATAAAATCGTTTTGATAATTTAACTCGTCACATTTTTATCAATCGATTTTCAATTTAGAAATCTTAAATATAATGTGATTAAATCCATCTGTAATAGTTTTTATAGATTTGTAAATTCTATCAATTGAATTCGAGTCTAATAGTATTTATTCAGTAGATCTAGATCGAACAATTTCCAATCATTAAATGTGAATTTATTTGATTGAAGTTAAGTATAGTCCAATTCCGATATTTCGGAAGAATCGTTCATCAGAAAATTTTGATGATTTTCAAGGTAGGTCAATCTTAACGAGTAGAGGAAAAGTTTTCATCCTAGATATTATCGTCTATTAGATGCTGGGATGACAATAGTCACAACTTTTGTCTTCCATTTCTTCGAGATTTTGTTCGATCGAACTTGAGTTTTTTTTACAGACACAGAAACTGTGGGATGGATATATTTTTACTCTTTATTCTTCGCATAAATATCGAAGGTACCCTAGAACACGCATAGTCTTTTGAATAGAGCTACCAAAAATTAGCGGAAAATTAAAAAATAATACCCATCCCAAATAGTGTATAATATATGTGAACTAAGTTTGAGATCGATCGAACGTACTAGACTGGAGAAACGGAGGTGTTTCTTTGCCTTTTGCGCATGAAAAAATTGATCTGAGAAAATCGCGGAACAATGTACAGTTGTTAATAATTTGATTTCTTTACGAATTTTTTAATGTTTAAAAACAATTTTTGGATTGAAAAATACACGCAGTAGATAGATACTACTTTAGATTATATAACGCCCATAAAACAACAAGCAATTTGGAGCACAAAAAAACAAAAATAGGAAAAAGACACCCTTAAGTCTGAAAACTTATTTCAGTCAAATTGAAAATGAATTGGCTTTTTTTTTGTAACTTGAAAAATTTTTCTCTTCTATAGTTATTTACATTCTTGTGAAGAGCCAATTATACACGGTAATCTAACTTGTGATACAATTTTTATTCAAAATACCGGTTTACTAAAGATTGGATCGAGTAAGTTCGCTTGTTACGAATAGATTTATTTACATATATTAGATGATAATTAACTAATTGCATCCCTTCTATATATACAAATAGTACATTATCCTCAGTTGAAAGCGTTTGCCGATTTGGGAATCGGTAGGTGTAATTGTTTAATATATTTTTTGTTTTGTGCTTGTTGTCTTGTATGTGAAACAATAAATTTATGATTTAATTAATGCAAAAATAATTGATTGTATCATAGATATTGTCATAATAAATATTATGAACAAATTTTTGTTTGTTTTTATTTACATAGTTGCACCGGATGTGTTACATCGTCATGTGAAAAGTAATTCAGATTCAGCAGCTAAAAATTTACACTTTCAAGCACCAGAGATCGACACAGGTTTATTTATAGAAAGTAAAATAGAGAAAAGAGTTTATTAATACTTTTTTGTTTCAGAACTAAGCCATATTACAACAGCTGTTGACATTTATTCACTTGGAATGGTTACACTTGAAGTGAGTGTTGTTCAATAATTTTATCAATTTTCTTTTTCATCTCTGAGTTTTAACAATAGAAGGCGATTCATAAGTAAATCTTTGATTCTGTTGTCATACTTATTGACCTATACAATCGGTTTTTTAGTTTGTTATGAGACTCGTATTAAATAAGCTAAGCAATCATATTTTATTGCCAATTGTAAACCACTTGATCTACTTTTCTTCTTTTGTGTAAAATAGAAGCATAGAAATTTTAATATTAAACTCATTTCCAATCTTATTACGTTTTTCTTATATGAATTTGATTGCCTTTAGCTATATGACACTGATACTCATATCTGTGAATTGAATTTTTTAAAATTTAAAACAATTTTTCAAAACCTTCAGCTTTGCGATTTATTTTTGAGAAAATTTTTTTCTTCAATGCATTATTTGACTTTAAAAATTCTTTTATTTTGTATAATTTGTTTGAATTCTCTCGAATCAATAGACGCTTTAGACAAGTTGACAAGAAGTGAAAGTATTTGATTATTTTAGAATAATTCATTAAGAAACAATTTCTTTGAATGATTATAACTAATAGAAAAAGAACTAGACATCGTCTAGTATAATCAATAATAGAAGAATGTACTTCTAAATCTCAGAACTAGTTTATATGCAAATCAGGGCTTCACGTTGAATGGAATGAAATCCTTCTAAAAATTTCGCGTCCTTCTGGGAGGTCATATTCATCAAATGATTTTTTTTTAAAAATGAAAATTATCAATACATTTATCCATTCGATTAATTGTACAAAATATTATACCATTGAGAGCAATGCAAAAAATGTTTGCATAAATGGCTATTTGTCTCATGTGACAGATGAATGCAATGGAACATAAATTTTAGGAAATTACACCATCCCATGGGAAATTTGTCAAAAAACTCATGGTCCATTCTGTCCCATGTGATGGGATCGAACTGTCCCATCCCATTCGGAGTCCTGATACAGACATAGAATAAAACTTAAGTACTTTTCTAATAATAGTAAAATAAACATGAGAATGTGACGATAATTTTTTTCGCAATTGATTGACATGATTGTGTTTAAAAAGTTTTTAATAATGTTTTGAACATATTTTACATAAAAAATAGAGTAGTAAAAACTAATACATTATTTATCTAATTCGTTTATTCAGTGCTCATAGCCAGTCATTGATAAAAACAAAGAATAAATATTGTATTTTGAACTATTTATGAATTATTTAACAATTGAGTATTACACGTCAAGAATGTGAAGTCAAATTTGCTGATGTATAGTCTACTGAAAGTGGATGAAAAAAACTAACGTGTAATGATTTTAAAGAGATGAATAAGAGAATTTTTTAACAAGGGTACTGCCACAATTGACATCTTCTGTTTGAGCTCATATGGAATACATAAGCAGGTCACTGTAATGCTAGTAAAAGTCTAAAATGGTTCGTCTCCATATTTTCTTCAAGATATTGAGTTTCTCAAAATAGTTCTTTGTCATAAAAATCGAGCTCAATTGAAAATTCGATGAAAGAATATTCTAAGAATCATTAGATCTATCTATGAACAAAATTTTGTTAATTGATCATAACTCGAGAAAAAAAAACCAATGAGGACGAATCCTTTTAAATTTTTGCTTTTCTTACTGAGACTTATCTGCGGGTTCAATATGATCTCAAACGACAGATGTTAATTGGAGTAGTTCTATCATTAAAGACTTGGTGAATTAATAACAATTGATCGACACTAAATACGTGAAAATTTATCAGCACATTCTCATGTTTATACTTTCACTATGAAAAAATAAGATCTTATTCAATAATATGTAATTTGAAAGATTGATATGAGTACTCAACGGTCAAATAAAAACATTCGATTAGGAGTTACTCTCTGTCTGTATATAAACTAATTTGGTCATGCCTCAAAACTTATAACACATTCTGTGTATATACATAATCAATAAACAACAAAAATATGCAGTATTTTATTCAGTGTGATAGTCGAGGAAGCGATATTCCTCCGAATATCGTATTAGCTCTTTAGAAGTTTGTAGTTTTTATGTCATTATCATATGTACCTGTACTTTTAAAATTATATATTCGTCTTCCTGGAATTTTAAATTATCCTTCTGAAAAAGAAAATCTGAGTTGAAAAATAAATATACTATTCTTTTTAATATGAAGTTTAATATCATTGGATAGTCTATATAATTGTATTGATTTGTTATTTATAATAAAAAATTTAGATGGTCAATCTTGATCTTGGTGGAAACGGTGATGTACATTCAGTAACAGATGAAATTGTGAATGAAGCTATTCATACACTTGATGATCCTGTGCAAAAGGTTAAATAAATTTTCTTTTTAATATTTAAAGAAAAATATTTTTAAATAGAATCTTATTTTAAAATGTCTTGAATCTGATCCATTAAAACGGCCAAAAGCGCGTGAATTACTTTTCCATCCAGCTTTATTTGAAATACCATCATTAAAACTTTTATCTGTTCATTCATTAGCCGATGATATTCGTAAAAAAAATTATAAAGCATTTGTTTTTCTATTACGTCTATTTCTAAAATAGGTTTAAATCCAGATCGTTCATTTGTTGTACCTACTATTCAACCAATATCAAATGAGCAAGTATTTGCTGAAGTAGAATCAAATCGTGAAGGTGTTAAACCAATTATTTTTACGTAAATAATTATTCTAAAATAAAAAAAAGAACCTATTTCATATTGAATCTTATTAATTCTACATTTTAGTTACAAAGATTGTCCATCATTTGATTTAGATAAATTAATTGAAGATGTTCAAAATGGTCTATATCCCATAACAGCTTATCATCTTTTATATCCTACTCGTAGTTCATTAACTGGTGTAACAAAACCAACTAATACAAATAGAACTTTGACTTCATCAACATCATCTTTATCATCATCAATGTCAACAACAACAGAAAATGATTTAATATCATCCGTACAAACACTAACAGATTCATCGAAACTTCTTTCAAATAATATCAATGATTCCAATTCATTAACAATGATTAGTAATGGAACAAAATCTCGAACTGGAACAATAATAGCAGCAACAAAATCTGAAAGATCATCGTCTATACCAAATGAAAATGAACATCATCGACGAGAATCTGTATTATCATCAATAGGAACTAATAATAATACAACAATAACACCTGTCACACATACAGATGAAAAAGAAAATCGACGGATTATTGATGTACAATGTAAAATAAAAACAAAAGAAACCGGTTTATGCATGGTAAATAATTTAATATCGATTAAATTTTAAATTTTATTATTCATCTTTTTTTTAAATATATTTAGTTATTTATTAGTGTAAAATTTCAAGATCGACTACAACGTGATATGACTGCAGAAATTGAACAAGATGAAACTCCTCAAAAAATTGTCAAAGAATTATTAGAACTCGGTCTAATTCATGAGGTAATACAAAGAAATTTTTCCGAAATGATATTATTGCAATAATTCGAAATGATTTGAAAAACGCTTCGAATTTGTTCATTTCAAATGCTTCTGTTTTTGTTTTTTGACAATATCTACTTTTAATTATCAAAAACATTAAACAAAAGTTCACATTGCTTTAGATACAAAGAGAATTACCATCACTATTGTAAGATAGAACCTTAAGAATTTCTACAATATCGATTTCATCGAAGTTCATTAATTTTTTTTCAACACTTTTAGTAGTAGCAATGCGCAATAAATTACCTATTGTTGTTTACTAGCTTTTCAGTCAGTGATATATGAATTGTAAATTTACCTAGAAATTGCAAAAGTAATTCTTTCCTTCTCTAAAAGAAAAGAATGACTCAACGATAATCAGCATACTCATGTCATTCACTCTAAGTTACTAGTATCGCTGGAAACATACTTATGATAAAATGCTTTTATGAAAAAACATCGTGATTAATTTCACACTTCTGTAGTCAGGAAATTAGAAATAAGAGTCAAAGAGTCGATTGTTTGACTTTAGATAGTGGTGTACAAGTAAAGTCGAACTTTTTCGTTCTTAGCTCTGGAAAAGTACTTTTTTCATAGGAAATGAGACAATGTTTTTCCGAGCATAAGTGATCCTCTTCTGACGATTGAATTAGTTATCCTGAAGTTTTTAGTAATGGTACTACATACTAATTGTCTGTACTCTCAAGAATAAGTGTTGGGCTTCATTGCCTTTTAAATCACATCTTCGTCGGAGAAAATCTAGATAAAACACTGAGATGAAGTTAACTCTCTTTTTCTGATCCGTCTATAAGCTACGATTTTTTTATTTGAATACGTAATGGATTTTTCTTTTAAATTAAAATTTTTCAATACTTCTAGAATGATAATACGCGAGTTGAACAATCCATTGACAAAGCATTCAATGCAGCGATAATATCACCGGATACAATGAATTCAACTTCATTACTTGATGTAAAAAAGACTGCTGTTGCTGCTGCCACTGCAGCACTTATCACAGCTCAAGCATTACAAAATCAAATCAATACAGGATCAATTAATGAAACAATCATTGATGTCAATAATACAACAACATGGTCGAATATACCATCACAACCAGTCATGTTTTTACCGCCCTAGAAAAATATGATAAGTTCTTTGATAAAAATTTATCAAAGAACTTCTATAGATTGGTGCTGACAATCATGTATAGATTACGCAGTGGATTTTTGTCGATGCATCATTGACACAATGTTTTCGTTTATGTACGCCAAGCGAAGTTTTTTCCTATACATGCGTGTTTATGAATGAATAGTTTCTTTTCAAATTTATTCATCACTGTTTTTTTTTTGTTCAATGTACTACTGATGACCAAATCCACCTGTTTTCTTTTTCATTATTTTTAACAGTATGTCTTTCGATATACCTATTTTTTTCCTTTGATGTTCATTTATTTTTGTCTCTTTATTTATGTATTTGAGTAAAATAAGAAAAAAGAATGACATCCAATATTTCATGATATAAATTTTGTATTAATATTTCTATTGGATAAATAATTGTTTAAATATATTTCGATCAACAAATGTAACCTGATTAAATTTTATTTTTTATTAGTAACAAAATTTATCTTAATATTTCAATAGTTTCGCATAGAAACAATTGTTCTTTATTTTTGCATACTTCTATTTGTTGATAATATGGATAAAATGACATTTATTGTCAAGATTGACAGCATGTAGATTTTTTTCATATGATCACAAAACCTTGAACTATCATGATTACGACAGAATAAGTAATATAGTTTCGTTTCAGACAAAATATTTAGATTACTTGGTAAACTCTCATTTCTTTTTTTTGGATAAGCTATCGATGAGTAATTCTTCTAGGACACTCTCACTCATCTGAAATCTCATACAATCTTAAAGTGTCTTAGTATCTTGCCTATTGCAAAGAAGCAGCCAATCAGGGATGGGCGAGTCAAGTCGGGTTACCGAGACTTCCGAGTCGAGTCGAGTCAAGTTAATTTTGTTATTTTTTTTTCTTTTCTGTTTATCGGGCTTAAGAACACTAACAATGAGTTTTTCAGAAGATGATGTCTAGTTCTTAGTTTTTATGCACAAAAAGAAGGGAGTAATCCTACATAAGATAAAATGGTATAGCTACTATAGATTTATTAACCAAACCGAACATCAAGACGAACTCTTCTCTTAAATAGAATTCCACATCAAAATTACAAAAGCGTCAGTTTTTATGAGCAGAACATGAACTTAAATCTGTTTACTAGCAAAATTTTACTATTTATATTTAAATTGTAGAAAAATTTGTTGTGGTCGCAAAATTATCTAACTGCGAAATGATCAACAAAAAACCTCAGTGTTTTATCGTCAATTCCACCGAAACATAAATTAATTAAAACGAAACAAGGTGTTCCAATAACTGAAACTCAACTTTTCTAATCTTATTCGATCTTGAATACGAGTGTAGCTTATAACAACTTTCTATACCAAGAGATACTGACAAGTCGAAACCGTAATTACCGCAAAAGCTAGTCGATCAATGTACTTACNTTATTTTAAGAAGATTTCGATATGTTACACGTATCTGATTAAAAGAAAATTTTTAAAAATATATTCTTACTACCATTCAGTTTGAAATATTTGGTTTTATTTTATTTTCGAACTATTTTCTCTATGAGATTTATCATAAAATTTAGTTAATCAACGTTGTTTTTTTACATATTATTTGATTATATTTGTAATGAACTTTACAAACCTTCAAAGAAAGATTTTTGTAGAAAATTCTAATGATATTTTTCATATGTCAAGAAATGAACTATGATCATTACGTTGAAGATATTTAAAGCATTGATTTCAATAAGTAAATGTATCTGATTTAATAGGGTGTGAGAGTGGGTGTCAGTGCGGATCTTCTCATTAAACTCACCGATACCCACACTCGCTAATAGTCCGTGATCGGTAGGACTATAGCTTTTTTTCCTTTATTAGATGTAAGGGAAACAGATAGAATCCTAATTGCTTTGGTTTCTCATTAGCAAGTATGAGCCTAATTATTGATGTTTACAATGGAAACAGAGATAACGAGCCGCAAAATCTTCGCCCTAAAACTTACACTTATGATTTCATTTGAAAATATTTTTTAAATAATAAATAAAATAAATTTCAATTAGTTTATTTGTACGAAGACAAAACAATATCAAAATCTTGCGTAAAAGAAAAAATCGAAACAAGAGACAGAGAGATAGTAATCATAAAATATTTTTCATGCAAGAAAGATTTCAAATAAAAGAACATACAGAAAAGTAGAGAATAATATATACTTTGGACAACAATACAATTGTAGTATTTTCGATCTTGTCTTTTTAGTTTTTAAATGCTCTTCTCATCAATAAGCATCAGTCCTATACTAGTATGAATATTAATTCATAACGAACATCCTGTTCATGATCTCTCTGTCTCTCACTTCTTTCGATTTATTTTCTTTTATGTATATGTACGCATCAACATTATTAGAATAAAACAAAACAGATATCAAGCTTCTCGTATATCTGTTAGTATTATATAGCATTAAACTAACACTTATTCAATCAACTGCTCGAGTCAAATGAAATCGTTAATTTATTCTAAAATTAAATAATAATGAATCTGCATTTAATTTCTAGTATTATTCTGAATTTCTATGATTTATTTTTTATTCTCGAAAGAAAAAGAACCAACAGTTGACGTATTATTGAAATGTTCCGAGGTCGAAATATCTACATTAGACGAAGATTGATTATACATCTTCTAGTGAATCAATTTTACACTTCAACAAAATTATTCGAAAAAAATCAATGATGAGTTCAGCTTGGTTCAAAAAGGTATAGAAATCTAACTTCGAATCCAATAGGTATATTTTTTTCTTCGTTAACGAATCCACAAATGAATGTTATTGGAAGCTATTTACGTAAACGTTTAGGGTCTGGGTGTAGGTGTTAAAGAATAGAAGAGTCATACCCACACCCCACGTCCACATGTACACCAACTCCAGCACCCTGCACGCCAGCCCCACACCCTCTGATCTCGATTCAATATTTGAGTTGAAATGTATCGTACCAGATCAGATAAAATCTGATCGTTTTGTTATTCAGCTTTGTACTACTGGTCGGACTGGCATCTGACTGAAAATTATGTCACTTTCAATAATTGAGAACTAGATAAACAAGCGCCTGGATTACTGTTTGGAAAACTAGTCATTGAAATGGGCAATTCGGATAAAGTCATTGACTATTTTCAACGACTATTGAACCAATCGAAAGTTCAACTACTAGGTAAGCAAAATCATGAATTTTTTATTTCACATTGTTTTTTTTACTCCATAAAACTGCACAATATATTATATATCACATATCGTATTAAGTTATCCTAAGATAAATACGAGAAAAATGGCAGTCCATTCTCGTTTAATACGTAGTACGTTAATTAGTAAAGTTTTTGGTTGGAATACTGTAAAAGTGTCATTTTTTCAATTATTATTGGCCTGAAAAAAATGAGCCCTTTTTGTGTTTTTGAAAGTATAAAATAATTTCCTACATCATAATATCTCAATATATTCCATTGGCGCATAAGTTGTGAGAGTTTGGATCAGTAGAATAATATTGCCAATATAAAACTGCATTTTAAGGAAAGTAATTATATATTCTGATAGCGCTCGGAATTCTCTATCACCCTGTGTATTTAAGTCTTGACTTGCATTTATTTGCGGAAAAGTATTTTGAATACAATGAAGACACCCTCACCCGCATTGACAATCTTCGAAATATTTCTCAGCAAATAAATGCAAGTCAAAACTTGAATACACAGGGTGATAGAGAATTCCAAGCGCTATCAGAATATATAATTACTTTCCTTAAAATGTAGTTTTATATTGGCGATATTATTCTACTGATCCAAACTCTCAGAACTTATGCGCCAATGGAATAGTTACCACTCAACTCATTGAAAATTTTTGTAACAAAATAAAAATGTGATTGTCATAGAGATCAACTTTATTTTATAACTGAGCAACAAATAGTTCATACACTAATATAGTAAACAGAAACTTGAAAAGTTTATGTCTTATTTTCGTCACTTTTAAGTTTATAAGAATATTAGCATGTTTTGAGGGAGATAATCATCATCTGTTGTGATAGATAAAGAACAATTGATAGATTAATCTGTTCTGTGTACAAAAAAGAGAAGACTAGACGTTTTATATCATTTTTTTCGAAAATGATGTGACTATAAAACATTTATTTTCTTTAGAAAGTGCATTCGTTGTAACGCGGGCCATACATAGCATCATATTAAATAACATCGGTCACGGTTTGTACAAAAAAGGTGATTTTATCAAAGCAATGGAATATTTTGATGAAGCACTGGTTCTTCAACAAATCGAACCGATGCTTACTAATCGAATTGCTGATTCAATAAACAACAAAGTTTTTATATTGATGGAGAAGGGTGAATATGAATTGGCATGGGGAGAATTCCAGAAAGTCATTGATATTATGACTAAAAACAATATTAATGATAGTTTGTCACACGTATTTACCAATATGGGTATCATTAAAACGCATTTAGGTGAGTATCAAAATGCTCTTGAGCTTCATTAACGAGCAGATGAAGCTATGTTAGTAGAGGACAAACACAAAGATCATCCGGATGTGGCTGGAAACAAATTGAATACTGCATTTATTAATATGGCTCAAGCGAGATGATCAGAGGCCGAAAACATGTTAAATGAAGCTAAAAGAATCTATGATCATACTTAGAGCTATCCAAAAGTAGTGGCAGTAGCACTTCAATGCCTTATAACAAGCTTAAAGAAACTTTCTCTCTACGTAGTCCGATAGAGGAAAGAATGCTCTACTTTTCTATACTATTTGATCATACTTCAACTAATATCATAATAATAAAATTTCGATAAGATCTGTGTTGTGATCTTATGTGCTGGTTATAATAATACTCAGTTTAAAAAATACGAATGAGTATTTTTGAAGTAACTTTTGATAAAAACAAGATAGAGAACTGTGGTTTTCACCATTCGAAAGAGGAGATGAAGACTCATCGAATCATGTATTCCAGGGTTTTCTGATCTGCTTT